AGGATTGCTGGAGCCCAGCAGGTCGAGGCTGCAGTGGCCGGGAGCGGCCACTGCACTCCAGTCTGGGCGACAGAGTGAGACTCCAACTCAAAAAAAAAAGAAAGAAAAAGAAATTTGAAGGATCCTCTCAGAATGACCATCCTGTTGGTGATGATCCTAGGAATCCACATTCACATAGGCAACACGGAGATTCATTGTGTCCTAGGCAAGGGGGTCCCTGAAGGTTTTTGAGATTTAGACTCTTGCTGGAGTAGGACGTACTATTCACATAAACAAGGTTGACCCTGAAATTGCCCTCTTTTCTAGTCAAACAAGAAATAACTAGAAGAAATCAGATCTATATACTTGAGTTAAGGAGCATGGAATAGAGAAATACTATTCCCTCCCCAATTGCATTCTCCTTGGATTTAGATTTTAACCCAGCTATTGACACAGCCTGAACTGCAGGATTTCAGAGGGCTCTTTTCTTTTTTCTTTTCTTTTCTTTTCTTCTGATATTCTCACTCTGTCTCCCAAGCTGAAGTGCAATGGCACAATTATAACTCACTGCAGCCTCAATCTCCCAGGCTCAAGTGTATCCTCCTGCCCCAGCCTCGAGTAGCTGGGATTATAGGTGCATGCCACCACATCTGGCTAATTTTGGTATTATTTGTAGAGATAGGTTCTTGCTATGTTGCCCAAACTGGTCTCAAACTCCCAGCCTTGAGCAATCCTCCCACCTCGGCCTCCCAAAGTGCTGAGATTATACGCACGTGCCATTGCACCCAGCTAGGGGGCACTTTTCATATAGATGAAGGTATGAACATCATTGCCAGAATTGAATAGTGTGGTGGTCCTGATTTTGATAGAACTTTAAATACTAAATGCAAATAATTCTGTATCTTAAAAAAAACACACACACAATTTAGTAACATACAGCTAAAATAAATGAACATGACCTATGATATAGTCTGAAACAGAAAGTACATAGAAAACAGTCGAGAGTGTAAATAAACCACAATGAGTAATTAACTATAAATCACATTCTAAAAATAGAATAGTATGGCTCGTTTGTGGAAGAGAAGATAGATTTAAAATATTTTTTTCCTAAGCTACTTCCTAGGAAATATGGAAGAAATCAGAAACTTTGGCCAGGTGCTATGGCTCATGCCTGTAATCCCAGTACTTTGGGAGGCCAAGACAGGAGGATTGCTTGAGTCCAGGAGTAGAAGAGCCAAGGCAACACAGAGAGATCTTGGCTCTACAAAATTTAGCCGGGCGTGGTGGTGTATGCCTGTAGTCCCAACTACTTGGGAGGCTGAAGCAGGAGGATCACCTGAGCCCAGGATTTTGAGGCTGCAGTGAGTGTGATTGTGCCACTGCATTCCAGCCTAGGCAACATAGTGAGATCCCATCTCTGAAAGAAAGAAAGAAAGAAAGAAAGAAAGAAAGAAAGAAAGAAAGAAAGAAAGAAAGAAAGAAAGAAAGAAAGAAAGAAAGAAGGAAAATTTGAGCAATTTCCCTCTTATTTCTAAAAAAGTTCTGGTTTAATTAAAGGAAAATATTATAATAAAAGTGAATTGTCTGGTTAAATTAAACAGATATTTTGCTGAATTGGGAGGCAAAGTAATATAGTGAAAACAACAGAGTATTCAGTCTAAAGATTTGAACTTAACTTTCATCTCTACATTTAATAGCTGTATGACTTTAGGCAGTTTGAAGAATATTCTTGAGTCTTGTTTTCTCATCAATAAAATGAGTGTTATACTATCGCCTTCATAGGATTGAAGTCTAAAGACTTGAACTCGACTTTCATCTTTACATTTAGTAGCTGTATGACTTTAGGCAGTTTGATGAGTATTTTTGAGTCTTGTTTTCTCATCAATAAAATGAATGTTATACTAACTCCTTCATAGGATTGATGTATGTAAAATATTTGTTTGGGCGAGGGTGGGAGAATCTTGTGGGTTTGTCTCTTCAGATTCCCTTAATAAGTGATAGCTATCGTTATTTGCTAACACTGGACTGTGAGGAATAAAAATACAGTAGAATAATATTG